TTGACCACTCCAAGATCATAACCAAGCTCTATGAATTTGGCCTAGATGATATGAAAGAATTTTCTGATATATATCAAGATGATTTACGTTCGCAAAATGAACCCATAGACATACCCATATTCAATGTGCTAGAAATTATTCCCTCAAAAACTGTCCTGTAACAGCCAGTAGAAATTACACCACCATCTAGTAGTAAGGGCAAGAAGAATGATCAGGATAATTTGACCCAAGTTCTCTTTGATTATGTGGCAGAATAAGCCGAATCTTCAGGTGCTTCAATATCTAGGATATCTAAGACTTTAATCTACCTAAGCCAGTAATCGATGAACTTAAGACTAGCAAGCTTTCCGATTCTTTTGAACCTACCAGCAAAATGGTGAATTTGTTTCCTAAAGAAACAAGTGTCTAGTACGATTCCCCAAAGCCTATTAATGAAGTATCATCTGCCATACTTCTGTCCAGAACCCAGCGAGAAGAGCACCTCAAAAAGGGGCAGTCAAACTCAGTGAGAATCCTGATAAGTTCATAACCATCACAGAGAAAGATAAACATGATTCACTCACATTTTATAATAGAATAAAAACTGATTCACGAATATGTGCTTAGGTTATAGAGACAGAAGATGACCCTAAAGAATATATGGATATGACAGTACGTAAAAGATTGATAGAGAAAGAAATAATCTGCCATTCTCTCAAGGAAGATGGGATCATATCCTCCTGGCTTGATACTGATAAGAAATGGAAAAAAATAATAAGCATACTTCAGGAGAATGATATGCTTTAGTAAAGAGCGAATAAGAGTGGGTTAATAAATATTAGTAGGGATAGGACTTTTCGTTCTTTACAACTAAGTGATATATAATTCCAAATTATTATTATTTTTTTTTCGCATATCTATCTACCCGCAATTTTCAAATATTTGCAGAGCAAATTCTGGCTGAAGCTTGTGGCCTCATAAAGAGCCTACAATAAATTATAATATTCTTTTTTGTCTACTGACCATGGTGTAGTGAATTGTCAGAATATTTTTTTCGAATTGAACTTTATTTCACAATATATAATCTGAATATCACAGATTAATCTAACCCATTAGTAAGTCTTATGTGACATATTTATTTCGCATATATATATTTGATAAACATATTAACCTTTATTTTTTATTTTGTCCAAAATAAATGTGAGAAAATGTGAAAAAAAGTCTACACGCAATACAGGACTAGCTCTAAAAGTAAATAGTGATGATAAAAACATATGTTATGAAAGACTGAAGAATTCACAATTTTAAGATCATCAGACGCAAGACTAACTATATGTCTCTTCGGTAGATCTACATGTGAAAAGGTAAGAAGATTCTATTTACATATGCTTTCAAAGAGCTTTTGGCATTAGATGACAATACTAATCACGCTTTATACCTTCTTAACTTCAGCTTGGCGCTTTTTTCTCAGCAAGATATAAAGCATATAGGGGTATATAGAAGTTCAGCTAACTTTCCTGCAAAATTTTAAGGTAATATATTTTATTGTATATTTTTAAAAAAAAAATGTTTCAAAGGATTATTGCATCTGTACGAATGAAACTTTATTCACTATAGGCATTAATATTTAAGAAAAGTAAAATGCCAGAAATCAGGTTTAATTGTCTTGTTGTTTCTAGCGATTCAGTTGGAAGAATTACAAAACAACATGTTGTTACAATCAAAATTAATAACAATGAATCTGTCCATTCTCTCAGTTCACAAATTAAAAAAAAACATACTTCCCAATTTGATAATATTCCAATTACTGAATTTAAAGTCTGTGCAATTCCCTTAAATTCAGATAAAATACTAGCATCGATTAATGCTGAAGGAGTGATGATAAGCGTGAATAGTAGAAGACAGGATGAAAGGTAGGTGCTAATTCCAATGCACAATATTCTTGATCATTTTCCCAAGCAACCTTCCCAAAAAGATATTCACATTATAGTATATTTAGATATTCAAGAATCTTAGTAGAAAAATGTAATAGTGATATATTTGCAATTTTTATGTATTGTAGGCTAGCTTCTAGTAACTTTTTTTATTTCATAAATAAAATATTATTTACGTGGTCCTTTCAGAATCTGTTCTTGTCGTAAATCTTAAAAAATGTCACATGTATTGATGTAATATAATCGCCTGATAATCCTGTACTACATCTTAATTGTATATATATTGGGCAAATGCATTATGAATTGATATAAAAAAATCTATCATTTCTCTCTGAGCGTCAGAAACTAAAAATACTTTTATATCTATAAACCAGCTTTATCTGTAACTGCAGTCAAGTGCATATTTTTTCGCAAGCATAAACTCACATATATAAAAACTATATCTTCACAACTCTTTATAACTTCTTCTCTAAGCTTAATAACAGAAGAAGTTTTTTCATGAACGATGTCAGACATTGTTAAGGATTTTAATATGGAGGAACTTATTGAATATTTGAAAAAGAAAAACTTGAAGCTAGAGGAGTCCCACTTCAAATTTTATGTAAAGAAGAAATTTCTGACCTTGCTTTTTTTGATACAACTAAAGAGGATTTTTGAAGTTATGGCTTAAAAGCTGGTTCTACGACAACACTAGCAAAATTTATCAAAGGTCTCAGCCAGAAGTTATGAAATTATTCTTCGCTTAAATCTCTTGATGACCTGAAGAAAATGTTACGTAGAAATAAGGTTAATGGAGAAGATATAATGAGCATCAAGCAGTTTACTCCTGGTAGGTGATTAATTTTCCAGAACTATCTAGTTAGCCATATTAACCTTATTTTTTTTCTCCACAGTCTTTGAGGAGATCAATAATGATGATAAGGCTCTCAATCACTGTATGAAGGATATAATCTTAAAACTTTCAAATGTGAAAACCATGACTGACGCTAATAAAGCGACATGTTGTGAATTTATTTTATCAATTATCCATGCATTTATTGCTATAGCTAAAAAACTTACCTCCCAAGATATATTTATAGTATTTTAAAAGGACATTTCCGGTGAGAATGCAACAGGCCAGGTGGACTATGCAATCAAAAGCCTAGAAGATCTTCTTTGTATAACTGAAGGGAAACCACAAAATATTAAGATTGGATATGCGTAGATAAGTCTACTATTCACATTTTCGCTTGTTTGCATAGCAAATGATATTAATGATGGTTTATCTCTTAGAATCTGATGCAACTTGAAAGTGCATTTCAGACCAATAAAAAGAAATGAACTTTGGATCAAGCATTTGGAAATGACTATTTTGACTATATCTATAGTATTGTGATCACAGGTACGGAGTGGCATTTTATCATATTACTCCAGATGGCATCTTCTCCACAAGTGGTAGCGAGTATCAGATTAATCTTACAAAGTCTGCAGTTAAAGATAATCCTGAATTACTTTGAAGCAACGTGAAAGGATAATTAGCATAATTGTAGAGTTGTTAAAGAATCAGGTTAATATAGATAGTTTCCCGACTAGCAAGAGAACTAGGATCAAAAAATTTATCAAAAAATAATATGTATCACAAGCAAAGTTCTGAACATTTGTATTTATTTTTGCATGTATTAATAAAAATTTTCTTGGCATTTTTCTGAGACTGCGCGGTCTCAAAAATCTGGTGACTTTATAACCTATTTCTCAATGACACAGTTTTTATATAATTATATATACTAGCTATTTTTTGAATATTTCACTTCTTATATAAAATTTATCAATAATGACATTTGAGCTTGAAGCATTGAAATAGCATATTGTTGAACTTGAGGCTAAGAATGCTGAGCTTAAGATTGAAAAAACTGAACTTTTAAAGCAGATTATGGAGGAGAATACTAGACGAAATGTTAGAGTTGAGGAACTGGAACAAAAAAATAAGGAGCTTAAGACCAGATTTGCGATAGTGAAACAGGCTTCCTTACCAGTGAAAAAGCAGACATATAATGATAATCCTTCTGACAATAATATATTTAACTTTAATTCAGTTACAAAGTATTATGAGAAACCATTAGTGGATGTGAAAACAGATAATTCCTTTCCTAAAGAGATTTGCTATAATAAACAAGAACTGGTGGTGACGGTATCTGCCAACTCTGCAAAGCGTCTTAATTGCAAACCATTGGAAGAGAAAGATATAGATAGTTTCTTGCTTGAGGCTCATAAGAAAATCATTAATAGTGAAATAAAGCAACGCAATAAGGAAAAGAAGAATGAAAAAATGGGCAGAGATTGATTCAAGAAATCTCTTCATCCGTATCCAAAGAAAATCATGTAACTAAAATTTTTGAGACCGTGTGGTCCCAAAAATCTGATAATTCAGATGCATTAGTGTCTTCATTTTATGGGACTACTATGATAGAGATATCTCAATATTTGGCCCAGTTATGTGATAAAGCGCTTATTGCAAAGGAGCACAGATTGGAAGTAAATCAAGAAGAAATATTATGCTGGTACCACTATAGAAGAAATTTTATATTTCAGTTAGAGGCCTTGTGTGATAATAATAAAATTGGTGAAAAGAAGGCAAAAGGTCTAATATACGATAAAGTCGTGAAGCAAGTTAATATTCTTTGTAAGAAAAAATCTCAAAATACAGAGGTGCCACTCTCAGACATAACAAGAGATGATTTGCACAAAAAAACTCAGAGAGCTGAGAAGATTTACAAGCTTCTCGAAAAAATAGGATTGGATAAAATCCAGTATATCAAGTCGTATAGTGTGAATAAAATATTAAAGTTTACTAATGATGAAATCCAAAAAATTATGGATCATTTCTCAAATAAGCCCAGTATGGATTTCAGTGAGGATCAGGACAATTTTATTAACGATGATTTTTCCAGTCAAACTGATATATCAGAGGTGTGAGCAAATCCCTTAGTTACAGCAGAGGTAAACGAATTAACAGCACCTATCCCTTTAATCTATGACTCTAATTCTTCTGATGATTCCAAAGAAGTCAGCCTAAGCAATTCGCTCGAAGCTGAAGACGATTACTACAATATGCTCTTGGAAGATTGTGTGAAGGATTGTGTATATTTTGATTCTGCACTGATGAAAGAAACGAATAAAGAAGTTATTTTACAATCAGTTAAGACAGATGATGATAATGACTTTAATCATGACAGTTATATTTGCTTAAAGCAAACGATGCCAGAAGATTCAGATGATGATAGATATAATAATTACGGTAGATATAATGAATACAGTAAACGTGATAGAGGTTATTACTATCATAATAGAGGATATGAAAGAAATACTTTCCTAATGATGAGCCCTATTATCTCTCCAGTAACCGCCTGCTGAAAGCGCTAAAGGCAGGAAAATTTATCAAGCGAAATCATATACTTGCATAGACTGAATTATTGTATCTTTTTTTTTGAATCATATGGGTGGCTTAGATAACATGCAAACATCATCTATATTTTCTTTTAGCGCTTCGCAATAAGACGTCACTGCCTTATTTGATTTATGTGAATTATATCCACAAAATATGCTAGGCACAGTAATACGTTACCAGCATCTTTAGAGGATCAGTCTATTAATAAACTTGGTCATGAGAATTATTTTTGTGTTGCTATACTGATGAACTTTCCCTAATGTTCTAATATGTTCTATCTCACTCATTATGCAGTTCTGAATTACTAATATCCCACTAATTATAAGACAAGATGTCATAAAAAAGAATCAAAAATAGATTAGAATCAATGATTTACAGATCTTTGAAAGCTCATCCAAATTACGTGTAATATGCTATGCAATGAACGATTATTCTGATAATTTTCCTTTTTTGTATAATTAATTAGAAAGGGGAATGAAAACAATTAAACTTTCTATTCTGGAATACTGAGAATAAACGGTAAATTTTGAGATACAGTGTTACTCTATTAGTATTAAATTATTTATCATAAAACTACTATTCACAAGCAGATTTTTATTTAAGCACTATTGTTAAATGCGCATTTTACACATATTATAAATCTTTGAATTAGCATTACGCAAGTCAATCTGATATCCCTGATGTTGAATGAGACAAGAATGGAAATTGTGTCTCTTAATCTACCGATTTACAGATCTTGATCCTATGAAATGTAAGGGGTATGTCTCTAGCCACATTCTACATAATAAAACAAATTTCTATTTATGGGTCATTAGTAGATTTGTATGAAGCACGAATAGGGCCACCTTTTTTCTCATTAATTCGAAAAAAGAAATACTAGCAGGGTAAGCTATCTTCCGTAGATCAACAGATGAACTTGTGTGATCTTATCAATAAACAGCAAATTCCTCAGTACTTTATTAGTATTCATAATACTGATTTCACACTGTTAGCGTATCATGTATTGTTATTTCAATAATCAGGCATCTACGAGTAACGTAATTATGAAAAGTATAGTTATGACAAATACACATAATAAAGCAACATAATTTTATTAAATAGGGTTAAATTCTCTTTTTACGCGTAGTAAGCCATTTTACTGATCGTGTTATTAGAATAAAACAAAAATGGATATACAGTGGCTACCAAAAGAAACGCAAGTGTGATTGGTTACCTTTGAACGGCTATAACTCATCAACCACAAATG